GGTACGTATGATCTGTGGTGTTAGTTAGTTACAACTATAATTACAGCCTTATGCCCTTATTACATTATACTTTATTATTAAGAACAAGTACAGCAAAATACCTTCTGAATTCTCAAAACTAGAAAGGTGATCCCGAATATTAAAATTCAAAATTAATACTCACAACCAAAATGAAAATTTAAAATATTGATGATTTTACAATATTGTCCCTTATCAAAAACTAATCCAAATCACCGCCGGCCCACCATTGAAGTTCCAGCACTGGTGGCTTGCCCTGTCGCTGAAAAGCCCTTGGAGTTATAGCTTTGATGGCAAGCCAGCGGCGGGGTCTTCAGCGATGGTGGCTTGCTTTTTTTTTTTTTAAAAAAAAAAAGGACAACAATATAAAATCATCAACATTTCAAAAACTGATTTGGTCATGAGTATTGATTTGGAATTTTGGAAATGGGATGACCTTGTCGGGTTTATTTTGAAAATTCAAATATTTTTGTGGACCTTAATATTGTTGATGGTTATACATTAATTTAAATTAAAATTTTCAGTGGCAAAATATCTGTAAGGCATTTATGATTGAGGCAAGATGGTACCATGGAGGGAAGACGCCTAGGCTGGAAGAATATTTGGCAAATGATGGACTACAATAACTGGACCTCTTCATCTTCATGCTTATATTTTTATGCCAATTATCCAATAAAGAAGCAGGGCTTGGATACCCAATCTAATTTACTTCTCAGGACTTAATTCCCGTCTTCTTAATGACCTTGGATCATCTAAGGTACCTCCATTTATGCAAAAGATCTTTAGTTCACTATATACCAAATTACTAATTTAGATTGATATGAGTGGTAACAAATACTATCTCTAGTTATTAATATAAGACCCAATTGACTAATTTATGAAAAAATAAGAAATTTATTAAATAACTTAATTATAGCATATGCTATGATTTCTCTAAAATACTTATGTGTATATCATAGATAATATAAAATTTATAAGTGAAACAAATGAGTTTGGAGAAAAAAATAAGTATAAATAATTTAAAGTAATTTAATAACTTTCTTAATTAATCTTTCTAAATTAGTTAACTAGGTCTTATATTAAAGATTTAAGGTAGTACTTTGTAAATCTTATGGGAGGGGAGGAAGATTAATCTATCTTTTTGGCATACATTTCATCCCGTACGTCCGATACCTTTGTGTAAAAGAATCTTTTTAGGGATAATCAGTATGTTCCTATTTATAAGAGACACTAATAATTTATTTAAAATTTTTAATATTATTCTTTATTTTTTCTTATTGATTATTAATTAGCACTAAAAAACAACTTACTATCGAAGGAAATTTTCCTTCTCTCTTTTTTTTTTTTTTTAAATAAGTGCGCATTTCTTTTTGGTCTAACTTGGATATGATGGAACTGATGTTTAGCGTGAAGCGAAGATTGGGAGGTGCCATCCGCAATTCAATGGTACGTGAATGAAGCTGGAGTTTCAGAAGAAGAATCCATCAAACACATTAAGTGTTTGATATATAAAACATGGCAGAAGATTAATCAACAAGTTGCTATATCTTCCTTCCCTTGCCATTTCAGCCTTACTGCTTTGGGTTTTTCAAGGGCTTCAACTTTCTATTACTCTAATGAAGATGATGCCTGCACTCTCCAGCATTCTGATGAATTTCAGAATCTGTTCGTTCATTAATTTTTGAGTCCAATTCCTAGAATATGTTTCATATTTAATCAGATTGAGATCAATCCCATATTAAGTATATTTTAATTTTTCAGTGTGTGAAGGATGCTATAAATATATATATATTTATATATGATGCTTGATTGTTTTTTTTTTCCTTTCTATTTCTATCTTTCATTAAATATTTATCAATTATAAGGGTAATACTCCTTCTCTCCTTAATGTAATACCTTATTAACTAATTTAAGTAGATTAAGGATGTTAGTTAAATTGATTAATGTGATATGTTTTTTCTAAAACACTTTAAGTATTTTTCTTAATTCCTTCCCTCCCTTTCTTAATTGATTATTATTGGAGGAATATTAATAGGGTTAATTTTAAAAAAAATTGATAAAGATATAAAATAGGTTTATATATAAGACCAACATTAACTCCTCAATTAGTTCCTATATTAAGTACAGGAGTAACATTTATCCATTGTATTTCTAAAATTTATATCCTTTGGTGCGTGAAGCAACCAAGGCGTGAATGCGACTTTGATTCGACAGTGTGACCCACGCCCTTGTCATTAATTTGAATAGTCCACATTTGATATGGAGGCAAAAATTTAATTTTTTTTAAAAAAAAAGAAATTTACCTGATACAGAATTTAAAATAAAAATATTCTTTTACTTTTTAATATTTTTTAAAAAAATTAATTTAAAAATTATCAGTTAATAATTTTACATTTAGACCATTAAAATGGTACCTGAATAATATAAATCTCATGATAGTTAGCGATAAGTACTGAAATCGGTTCCCTCTCTCATCAGTCTTGGCAGCAAAGGATCAGCTTGCTGTCTCTATGCTGCTCGAACAATGTTAAAAATAACAAGCCAGCAATAAATTAAAACACAGGAGCTAGATCTCATTACATACACGAGATCATACACAAGTTATTGTTTCATGGTTTAGCTTCAAAGACTCTTATTAAATATTATCACACCTACGTAAAAGTGATGGGAAAGGGCTCAAAAAGCAACAAACGAACACGATCCTTGAACTCAGAATCCTGAACAGTGTAGGTATCGTCTCCATAATAGTAAAAGAAAGTTGCCGTCCTTGAAAGTTCCCAAGCTGTGACGTTGAAATCGCGAGGGAATGAAGATGTGGCAACTTGTTGATTCATCTTCTGCCATGTTTTATATATCAGACCCTTTATGTGTTTGATGGCTTCTTCTTCCGAAACTCCACTATCATTCATGTGGCACTGAATTGACGAGGGCACATCCCCTGTCACTAGCTCACGCTAAGCATCAATTTCGAGCTAAGTTAGACACATATATATACATATTAAAGAATTTGTTTGTGTGTTTATAGGTAAAACAACAGCAAAAACAATTCTTATATCCCGTTAGGTGGAATCCACTATATATGGGCAAGAAGTCTCTGATTCTCATCTTCTAACGCGCCTTGTAAGGTCCCAACTTTCTAAATATTGTTTTCTTAATTTTCTATTGATCTTTAGGTTCTACATGAAATAAGTGGCACTGATATCTTATGGACGTAAAATAGTGTAGTTTTGAATGTTTTATGATTTCTTAAAAAACTCTAAAGTTGTGCATCATTTTATGCCAATAAGATATGAAAATGCCAACTATTTTTATGTAGAATCTAACAATTAGCAGAAAAATTAAAACAATATTTTGGAGGTTGGAACATTTATAAGGGACATCAAAGAGTACGGCATTAGAGGTCCCTTGCCTTATTTGTTTCATCGATACCTTAAATGATCCGAGGTCATTGAGAAGGCGGAAATTAAGTCCTGATACGTGAAGTAGATCTGAATGCTGGTGTAAGGAAATGAAGTTCAGGTCCTGGTCGTTGATACGATTATTTGGCATCAAAAGATAAGCATGAAAATGTAAAAGAGGCCCTCCAATTGAAACCCATCCATTTTCCAAATATTGTTTCAGGCTTGGCGTTTTTCCACCATGGTACCATCTGGCCTCAACCCTAAATGCCTTACAGAAATCTTGCCACTGAAATATTTAATTAGGTTAAATTAATGTAATAATTAATATCATACGTATTATAGATAATAACAAGACACTTAAGAGAGTACGTAGAAACAAGTATAATAAAACAAATAATTAACACATATCATACCCCTTTTTTTAGGTATGAATAGACATTGAGCCCTTTTTCTATCTGAATGTCAGAAGCAAGTTCATCCACAAGGTTATAGATTGCAAAAAATGACACTTTCATGTAATCTGGGAGACTGTCTAAGTCATTTGCATCCCACCTAGAATTTGATAATTAGTAAGATTAATCGATTCTTAAAAATAAGTACAATCTTTAACATCATTTAAGGGATGATGAATGAAGCAATTAAAATTCAAACCTGAGAATAGCTTCTGTGAAGAGCTCTAATTCGTCCAAAGTCCCATGAACATCATACATATCATCGGTCAAGGTTATTATGGCGCAAAGATTTCCAATAACTCTTCTTAACTTTTCAACATGTGGTTCTTCCTTCATTCCTAAGCCCCAGAGATAGTTGTCCACCACCCTACACCTGTAAAAATTGATCTTCTCTTCCAGACCAGTTCTCTCCCACCATCTTCAAATGAAACAAAAAAATTTAGCATCAGTATAAATTTACGTTGTCCATATTAACTGATCAGTTATCTTATTTTACTAAACGAAACTGCTAACATTGTTGCTTGAAAAAGAGTATCCATGTTATCAAGCAAATAAAAATAGTATCCAAAGTCATATAGTTAGAATTTGGGAGAAACGTTTCTTTCTAGATTGTCCAAGTTTTTTCTCTCATACTTTTGAGATTTTTCTTGCGGAATTTTTCACTAGAAAATCCCTTTTTGTTAGAGGGTATTACAACGATGTTAGTACAAAAATAATTTATCAACTGCAAAAAAAATTATAAATCATTCATGAATCTATTGTAAATCTTTCACGAAAACAATTGTTAAAAAAAATTAACTCCTTAACTAAAGACAAAATAGTTCATTGCAAAACAGTTTGTGTAGCGAATTTTCATTGTTTTAAGAGGGATTTTTATATCATAAATTACCCATTTCGTTTTAGTGATTTCAATTCGAATGGTCTAGATTTTTACTACTCCCTCAAATCTCTATTATGAGGACTACAAACATGTTTTATATATAATATGTTTTGTCTGAAATTTTTTTTTTTCACCTAGCATCCCAAACTAATTATAAAATTTGTGAACTAAAACCAATCTCCTGTAGCTAATCAATTTTATTGATGATAGTTTTGATATTTTATAAGAAATAACTAATTTTAATTAACTTCATTAATTTATGTAAAGTTGTAATCAAATGCTTATAATAATGATAGAAAGGAGTAGCATGTATATTGTACCTTATATTGGACTTCACTTCCTCCTGATACATGGCTTGAAGCATGTTATAATCCAATTTGGCAAGCTGAAGCAAGTTGGAATTCATATTAGGCATTCTTTCATATTCACTAATGAACCAACGAGCCTCCCATCTTGGTAGCCTCCAATGTAATGGAACCTCCATAGCATGTTTCACTTGGGATGTCAGTTCATGTCCAGGGTTCCTGCTCATAAAATCTCTAAGAGACTTTGAGGTAAAATCTGTAGCTTTTTCCAAAATAGTTTCGTCTTCCATTAAAAGAAATGAAGCTTCATATAATGAAAGCATTCCCTTAATATCCTGAGATAAACTCGTTTGAAAATCACCCTCATCGTTTATAAAGCTATCAAACACATCTGCAGCAGCAAATAGTTCAAGTAATTTAAGAACTATCATTCATATAAGTGCAAAAGTGAAATTTTATACTATCTTTAGTTCTTAATATAAGACCCAGTTGACTAATCTGACAAGATTAATAAAGCTAAATAAATGACTCAATTATGGTACATGTTACATAATCTATATGAGATATTATGTGTATTGCTAGATTTATATTAGTTTATAAATCAAGTAAATTAATTTGGAAAAAAAATACTTTAAAGTGATTTATTTAGCTTTCTTAATCTCCTCAATTGATCCTCACATGTAAATATTATACCTGTAGGTATATCATAGCCATGTTGCCTTGAGAGTCGAAATTCAAGAGCTGTGGCATGCAGATTCTGCTTGTTCTTGAACTTGTCCACGCTGTAAATATTTTCCAGCATTTTGTTTATTTCACTCTTGAAATGATAAGCTAGTCCAAGCCTTTGTAAGGTGTCAATAAGCTCAAGTTGTTGCAGAGGATTCACTGTGTCTGAAAGAAATACCCTAACTTCAGCCCTAAGCATTCTGCTTTCTTCTTCATATGCATGTTCCTGCATGTTGCATTGATAACTAATATAATGATCACTTGATTTGAAATAATCTTAGGAAGAAATGAAACTAAATTACCAACCATAATCTTTGTCTTTAGTTATAATTAAGTTGGGAATAAGTTAAAGAAAACCTTATAATTATTGTCCAATGACTTAATATAGTCGTAGTGCCAAACATCAGGCTTGAAGTCTCCAGATCGACGAGAAACTTGCTGGCTTTGATCAGAAACAATAACTGATGGGGCCTTGCATTGGATTTTAAGAGAAGTAGTAGCATTGAAGCTTTTGGATATGGCTGAAACAGAAGAGGATGTTTTATTCAGAGGAAGCATTTTAGTGAGAGAGCCAAAAGGGAGAGAAGCAGCCTGGGGAAGATGAAGAGCCATATCGTTGGAAGTTCGAAAACGAGGTTGAAGGTGATGGTCAATATCTCAAGGCATCCATATATAAAGGGCAAAATATGTAAATAATAAAGTCGTAATAAGTTTTTGCAATTAGAAAAGAGGAATAATAAAAATGTGGATAAATTAAAAATTACAAAAGTAAACTTTTTGAACACAATCAATAAATCTTATAGAATGTTTAATATATAGAATAAAATGAAAAAGAATAATGAAGCATTTTTTTTAAAATTAAAATGTCTTTTGAAAGTTTAATTATGGACCATATTGAATAGCATATTTTTTTCACTAAGACTGATGGCGGACTTGAGTTAGGGAGGTTAGATTAGTAAATCACGAGCTCAAAAATAACTCTTAATTTGTATATATTAAGCTTCAGGAAATTTTAATTGTTCACATATACTTGTTTATATATAACAAACGGCAAGCTTTTAGTTGGAAAAAATATTGGAGATTAGATGCATGTTCAACAAGTGCTTGATTATACCTGTCATTCAAAAAAAGAACAAGAATAAGATCACATGTATGCACTGAGAAGCATCTATCATCTGTTTTTTTTTCCCCAACAAGCATTTATGGTTCAATTCAACATGGAGACAGATTTGCATGCATGCATGTTTAGAAATTTATCCAAAACTTTCATCTGTTTCCTATATATAGAGTCAGAAATCTCTAGCCCTGCTCCTGCTATTGATGAATTGATTGATTCCAAGAACTTACAAGGATCGATGCAACTTTCATTATTGAATCAACCTTTATTAGCTTCTAAATGATATATATATATATATATATATATATATAAGCTAGTTTGATATTCAATTTGGTCTTTAGTATAAGGTTCTAATTAACTTGGAATCTCATATTTATCTATTTTTTCTTAAAGTAGTTCTTGTAGTAATTACACAAGTTAAATATTTTATCAAATGGTAATTTTAGCTTATATACATGATTAGCAATAGTATTTTAGAAAAGACAACACATATATTACAAACAATTAAATTAACTAATTTTATTCATTAACTCAAATTAGTCAACCAGTTCTTATATTAAAGATTGCAAATAATATACATAAAACATATCTACCACTCACCCCCTTCATAAATAAAGGTGCATTGGGGGGGGGGACACACACACACTCTCTCAAATTTCCTACACATTATTACATTAACTAATTTTAGTTAATTTCTTAATCTATTTAATTCAATTGTTTATATCTTATAAAAAGTACAAGAAGGTAGTTACTATTGTTTCTTTGTTTCATTAAAGCCTTACGACACTTATTATCAAAAACAAAACTCTTATAACAGTTTTTGACAAGTGTTGGATCATACCTGCTATTCAAAAAAGAAGAAATTAAATTCAAATAAAGACGTATGGACCATTCAATGGATACTAGAGAGTCAGGAATCTCTAGCTAGGCTCGATGCTCCTCCCATAATTTCTGCAACATGCAACTATATGACAATTTGTCTATACGTGTTTGTATTTTTTTTTTTTCAAAGCGTGTGTGTATTTAAAAGATTTTAGCATCAAAAGTGTTTAATTTATATGTACTATTGTTGAATCTTCTTTTGGAATGAAAATAATTTTATCCAAAAAGGAAAGAATTGTTACAAAGTTTTATAGAAAGAATATAATTAATAAAATTTCATAACAATTGAACAAAATATAATGACAAATTGCAGTGCAAGACTTATTTGTCAATCATAACATTTTGACAATTACATTCTTGTTTTTAAGACTCATAGTAATTCTCCCGGAAAAAAAAATTTGCTTCGCAAGATGTCAAAATCCTCTTCCTAACTAGGAATCAAACACACATAGTCTTCTAGTGTGGGGACTAAACCACACATATTTATAAAGTGTGATAATGATATTGATTGAGACATTACTATATGACCATGCAAGGAATACCCACTATGCATAACATCACAAAGGAGATTACATGCACAATGACAAGCGTCTTCATAGAGGGGAATCACTTTGACAAATGTATACAAAAAGATTTAACAATTTTAATTTGATTTAAATAATTTAACAAGTGTATAAGAAGAATAAGATTACATGCAATGAGATGTATCTTTCATTCAGTTACACAAATTAAAAGTATCCGAATCTTCATCTGTTTCCTACCTTCTAGTGTCAGAAATCTAGACCTGTTGCCTCTGCAATCTGCGCACCAATTATTGGAAAACTTGTCTATACGTGTACATAGTCTTGCAAATATAGATATTTGGTTTCATCATTCTTAGTAACTTAGTTTAAAAGTTATTTATCTGGTGAATAAAAAATTTCATGAGTATAGCTATAGACATATCAGATTTAATGCAGATTTTACGACTCAGTGAAATTTTTAGAGGCACATTGTCTGCAGGAGAATGGAGTACATATTCATATAAATTAAGCTAAATTATATGAAATATTCCTAAACTTTATACTGTAAATAATTTTTTTAACCTTTTAAACTTTAGTTCTCTCATTTTCCAATTCTTCTCCTGCGGGGTTTGCTCTGGAATAATGCATTGCATATGGGTGTTTTGATAGAAATATGTTTTGCTGCTTGGTTTGTTCTTTTCTGCTTCTAGATATGTTCTTCGATGTCAAAATATTATGTGTAAGGCTCGGTTATGTTTTATTGTCTAAACTATATTTTTATATCCATATTTACTAGCTAGAAAAATTACGCATTGAAACTGCTAACCGTTAATCAATCAGATTTGTGGGACAGAAATCAAAAATTGAAGAGTTTTGTTCTATTCGCGTTTGTGTTTACACAAATATATTTTAGTAGGTTTGGTTCCCCTACTAGTTTATCATCATATAGAATTTTAGTTATTCCCTTTAATTTTTTTTATATATTTGTATCATATTTTTTAGTTGAAATGATATGATTTGTAGAAAGTTTGTTTATTTTTTTGTGCTTAAAAAAGAATAACAAACTTTCTAGACTGGTTGTGAGTCCAGTGAGTTTAGAAATATCATTTTCTACACTAGCTAAACAATCAGACCCTGTGAAACCGATGTAAAAATGTTTTTTTTAACCGGTGTTAAAGGTCCTTCTGCACTAGTGTATTACATATGATAATTAAGGAAATTTTATATCAAGCACTATTATTTACAAATCATTAGCTCATATTTTCATTATCCGCGATGATTAGGCCACCAAGAGAAAAATCCTTCAAAATAACAAATTAATTAGTTGGGCATCCTATAGTTAATCCACATTCATTAAAGCACTTGCAACATGCATGCATGCATAGCTAAGGTATTCTTTATACTACCTAGCTCTAGTCTTTAATACATGATTCAGTTAATTAATTTGAAGAGATTAGAAAAATTACTAAATTTTATCATATGTTATGTGATCTTTCTTAAATATTTATATCGATTATTAGATTATATATCAATTTATAGATGAAGTGAGTTAGTTTGGAGAAAAACAATAAATATAAATAGTTTAAAGTAATTTAATAACATTTTTAATTTTTTTCAAATTAGTTAATTAGGTTTTATATTAATATTAAGGATCAGAGGTTGTGTGTATTCACCCCGCATGTCAAAAGGAGCTTCTTCACATAGCTAAATCAAAGGCTTCGAGTGGACCTTATCTTTGGCAAGTAACAAGCATTATAAATAGGGTTGGAAATAGGCCAAGCGGCCTGTTAGAGGCCACCTTATAAATAGCCTGGCCTATTTAAATATCAGAACAAACTCAAGCTTGTAAAATAGCCTGTTTACTTTATCAAACTAGGGTCAAGCCTGATAATAAGCCTATTAGGCCTGTCAGGTGGTCTGTGCCTGTCATCTTTTGTTTTTTTAGATTAAAATTGTAAATGAACAGGAGGAAATCTTCTATTTTGATTGGTTAATTAAGAAAACTCCACCCACATAAATATGTTATTCAGAGCTTATTGCATGCTTCATTTTATTTCCATTCTCTATAATAAAAATAATTGATGTATGTATAATAATGACACATATTTGGACAGAGAAAGAAAAAATGAGTGCACTAAAAAAAATAAAAGAATTTGATCCATGCTTTTCATATTAATCTTATATAGAATATATATATATATATATAACTAACCTATTATGTTTTAGACTGTATATGTGTGCTCAATCTAATTCTTATCATAATAGTTGCTTAATTAATTTAAATAAATAAATAAATTATAATAAATGTAACATATCTTTTTAAAAACAAGCATGTGTAACAACAAGATCAAATATCATTTTGCTAGTAAATTAGTTTGAACAAATGATAAATTTAAAATATAAAAGGGATTAACAACGTTTCATATTTTAAACTAGATCTAGTCATCAACTAATTTTTATACTAGAGATGGGATGAAGTGATACTTTTATACCAAAGTGAAATTATGTTTTCTAATAATTTTTCATATTTGATTTTTTTTTTTTACCTAAGGGAACACGTTTTATAAATTGTGTTAATTTGGTAATTTTATATTTTCTGTTTGTATTTTAGATAAATCAGGTTGAATTATTGTAATTTTGAATTGATTTATATGTGTTTGAAATTTGTTAAAAAAACAAGCCTTTTAACAAGTCACAGGCCAGGTTTAGGCCAAACAAAAAGCCTTTCATAAGTCGCAAGCTAGGCTCAGACCAATAGACCTCATCACAAGTCAGGCCTGTTAAAGGCTGGAACAGGCCCGGCCTGACTTATTTCCATCCTAATTATAAACGAAAAATAAACTACGATACAAACTCATGCATGCATGCACACAGATCTTGACTCAGTAAATTAAAGATACAAGGCACGCAAGATCATTTATTAACAACTGAGAGAAAAGCGAAAATGATGACGATGATGATGAAGATATTTAAGCAGTGTCGCAAGTTTCAGGGACAAAGGTAGGGTGCGGGATTGGTTGCAGAAGAAGTGGTATCTTCTTGGAGACGACAAGGCCACTTGCCTCACTCATATCTATGTCCATGGCAGAGGAAGATGTTCCATCGTCAGG